AATACATGGCTTGTAGTTTGGAAACCCTTAATGCAAGTGTGACGGCAGAGCGGGTTCAAAATTATTCGGGAATTAGAAAAGTTTTTGAAAACCTAACAATACCCTTCCTTCGAGTATAAAATTGAAAGAAGACGTGATTTTCTACCGAATAAGTCAAACAATAAATATTTTTTATGCATTCTTTCCATGAAATATAATTGAATTTTCAAGGGCATCGAAAATCAATGAGGAGTGACATCGGGCGAAGACCGCCAGCAGGGGATAAATCCTCGACAAGGAGTGCTGCCACACCCCGTAGTAAAGAATGTGAAGTGGCCGGGGTTTCACACAACAAGAAAAAGAGGGGAGGGAACTCGGTTCCCAACCGAGTAGGAGTGCCATAAAGGCCACGATAAGAAGGGTCATTGCAGCCTCGCTCTCTGTTCTGACCACCGACACTTCCTTTGTCTGAAGTATTTCAGTTGAGAGAGTATTCTACATCCACCGAGGGATTGCAGATGAAGAGATGTTGAAAACCTTTTTTTACCCTCATAAAGTTTGTATTTGTAGAATTCCAACCATCTTCAGGCTTATAAAATTTGCGTAGGCAAATCTTAAAGAGTGGCGGACTTCTTTATCCGCTCGAGCATTGGGTATGGAGTTCGATTTTGAGTTGTTGGAATTCGCTTTCTTGTTCTGGAAACAGTCTGTTCTGCACTAAAAATCAGTCCCCAGTAATGCCCCGAAATTTGTGAGGGTTAAATTCGTCGACCCCCACGAATTTCGAAAGTAAGCGAATTTCAGACTGACAACTGACAAATGTCTATCAATGCCTAATTTCTTAAGTTACACACTATAGTAGATGCGCTAACTCATAGAACGGTGGAAGTCCGGAAATGCATTTTCGATTCGGAAAGATTACTTAAGCAGAGTTGTACTACTACTTACCGTGCAGCCTAAGCTCAAGATATTTCAGTTACCTCAGGATGTCAGTTTTTGAACGAAATTCTTTTTGGCCGCCTGCAAAAATTACATTCGGCAACAAAACGATTACTAAAATAGCTTGAGTTTTCACGTTGAGTTTCGATGCCCATATATGTCATAGGAAACCTGCACAAAGATATCCATCCTTTCACTCATTTGGTAAAACACAACGTCAGCTTTAAGTTTTATGCTTGAAGGAAGAGTATAGTTTGGTTTCCAAAAACTTTTCCAATTCCCAAACCTGATCTACCAGTACACTTACGTTCAGGGTTTCTAAACTACAAGCAATCAATTTCCGTGTGCAGAAATTCATATATTTCTGTGCGCTATTAAGAGAAGATCATATGGGGTTGATCAAATTTAGCAGGGGATTTGAGACATTGTAAAAGTTATCATCGGAATTAGCTAATGCAGAGACACGATGTTTTATGAACTGGCATTTCATGGTCTTCAAAAATCTCATAATTAGAAACTTCCTTAAAACCAAATTACACCCTTCCTTCAGATATAAAATTTAAAGGCGTAATCACCCTCAAAAGGAACAAAGGAAGGAATATTTTGATGTCTGCTTTCTATGAATTATATTTGAACTTATAAGGACATAGAAAATCGATGAGAAAAATCCGTACGACTTAAGTGTTCATTTTAACAGAGTGTGGTTTTTGCGGGCGACTGGAAGGAAGTTCGTTCAAAGGCTGGCAGTCTGTGGTAACTGAATTGGTGATTAATATTACAACCATGTCTAGGTAAACTTTGCAAATCGAAAACACAATCCATAATTTCTGCTAACATTTCATGAGTTAGCAACCTTTTGTTAATATTTCCCCAAAACACTTCGAGTTTATCTAGGAACTGATGTTCTAATTTCTATCACCCTTTAAAATAATACAGGTGGAAGTAAACGTCTACGGTACCGCGCAAAAAGTACATTTAGTAAAATGCCGTTCATATGAAATTGTGCCCAACTGCGTCTCCTTTGGGACGCTGAATTCTCGTAAGAGCATTTTCTGTGAGACATTGAATGTTACAAATTCTAGGCGGAAAATACGCGAAGTCGTGGGGTCACAGATTTAAAAGAGCGGGCATTACTTGGATGGTTAACCCCATCCTGCACTGAATGAGTCAACTGCAGTTATGACAGCTCGACCGTCGTTTCTGACGATGTCCACTGTGTGGCCCACAGGGACGGTGACTTGCCCCTGAGCTGGCATAGTAGGCTTGCGCAGTATCTACCACAAACTGTTAGAACACACTAAAAATAGTGACTGAAAGGTTCATCAAGTGGTGGGAAAACTCTATCCTACTTTAAACCGAGGATCCGGATGAAATCACCCTTTCATATGACCTTTGTAACACTTCCCTCGATCGGGACTAAGATCTTCCTCTTTAAGTTCTGATTCATGTGCTTACAGGAACCAGTACGTGTGCGGCACGAGTGAATGGGCTAATGAACTTGGACGGTTAAATTGTGTACGTCCATTCTCAATCGTCTTGGCAATGTATCTTTATTAAAACATGGCGGATGTGAGAACAGCCAATTAGATGCTGAACAAATCACTCTCAGTGTAGAAACAGACTCTTTTTAAGACATAGTTGTGACCTTGAGGTAATTACAGTCCTCGTGGGTAATGACAGACGAAACCCGAAATGTGACAGGTCTCTGGCAGGAATAGAAGCGCACGATTCCGGCACGCATGATGTCTTCAGCAAATCCGTCTAATACTCGAGCTCGACTTCCGCACATTGAGGGAGCTGGGGAGGAGTCTTCAACCAAATATTGGAGTTTGGACTTTCCCTTCCAAGGAAAAGTACGCGAATTCTTGAGGCGGCAGATTCAGAAGTGCGGGCGTTACTGGAATGGTTAACCCCTTTGTGGATTGAGTGAGTCAACTGCAGTCTTGGCAGTTTGACCGTCGTTTCCGACGCTGTCTACCGTGTGCCCCACAGCAGGGTAGGCACAAGGTCGGTGACTTTTACGCAAGTTAGTAATATAAATATAGCGGATTTTCGCAGCATCTACCGCACCCTCCCCCCCTCCCCTCCCACTTGAATCTATTTTCGTTATAGGATCAAGAAGACCGGAAGTGACATCGGGCGCAGGCCGCTGGCACGGGATGAATCCCCGAAAAAAAGTGACACCACATTCCCTGGTGCAGAACGTGCACTGACTGGGATTTTACACAACAAGAAACGAGGGGGACGAATCGGTTCCAAATCGAGTGGGAGTGCCATAAAGGCCACGGTGGGAAGGACCCACTGCAACCTAAATCTCCGTCTTCAGAGAAGGACCGGTTTGTTCCGCCAGTTTCCAGTCTTCCGAGCCATGACTTTTGGTACATGCTGATACATTCAAACGCATCAGATTGTTTATAATTAGGAATATGTGTTGCGAGAGTCGATGTCACTCTTTCTTCCCCTCTTCAGACATCAGCCACCTGACTGATATTCGTCTGATAATCGAGCTCGGCTTCCACACCTCGAGGGAGCTGGATGGGGGTCTTCAACCAAATAATTAGAGATTGAACTTTCCCTTACTTAGAAGTTACTAAGCCGACATCGGATCTCAGGGCCATGGGGCCGTAGTTGAGGCTTGGCCGACGGACGGATGCATTCGCTTTCCTAATCGTGTGTGGTTTACTTGGATTGAGCTGGCTTAGCACACAATTCCCATGATTTTATGAGAAGGTGCCGACTAGAATGAATGTTTCTAAATAGACTTACCGTCACCTGTTGTCGGAAATGTCTTCCAGCACATTCTGCTTCGCGGAATGAACTGAAAAGTTAAAAGAAAGTGGAGATTTCATTCCTGGCTTGTTTATCCTTATCGGCTAACCACACGTTGAACCTCAGACCGGAGTTCCAAGGCAAAGTGGAACGTCTGTTTTGCATCCTATGATCCGACCAAGTAACTGAAAACAATCGTCGGGCTACGGCGGCCGACAAAGCATGAACCCGTACACCGACCGACAGAACAGCTGACTCACTTTCTACTTGCATGTGAGGCCAATTGGGACAAAAGCGGTCGCTGCCGTCTCCCTTGTCCGTGTTTGCTGGACGATCAGGCAATTTATTGGTCGTCAACATGCAACAGTCTGAAAGATTTCTCAATGGAATTCCCAAGACACAATGGAGCATTCTTGAACTGTCCTGACACCAGTATTCCATATCCAAAAAACAGCGCGTGCAAGTTTAGGCAAATTTTGCTTGAGACTTTATTAAAAAATTAACGAAGTTATTTTAAATTTATGTACTGGTGTTTTGAAACAATAAGTGTGCATCTGATAAGGGTTTTTTCTAAGACACAATCTAACAGTGTAGCACAAAATTGCAGATAACCGTACGTCGGAGGTTAAAAAGGCCTGGTCGCCTATCCAATATCAGTGAAGAAATTATGAGAATAAGCTAGAGAGGTATTTGAACATATATACCAAGGGAATTTCAAGAAGCATTAATCACCCAAATGAATGTGCTTAATCATCGTGGGTGATAACCAGGCCCTAACTTCGAAAGGTGGATACACAGGAGCGAATTGTACGCGGGATAACAAGATCTCCAGGCAACGTGGCAATCAGCTTGGTGATTTTAGGCCGGCGTTTCCTTGGCAGGGAGTTGGAAGCTGCGGACGAATTTTTCCGTACTAGCGCACATTTTATACCGGGACCATGCCCCCCCTAGGCTAACAGGGATTTTTTGAACAGCGCATACCCGTCAGAGAAGTCAGAAAACGCTTTTTACCTTAGCTTTTATACGTAAGTTAAGAAAATCGCCAGTATTCGATACAATTTGCAATCATGTAATTTGGAAAAGTTCATTTCCTAAAAAGGCCTAAAAATAGAAGTCCCTTTCTCACTTGGATGCCCCAGTTCTCGCATACTTGTGGCTGGCGTGCCTCTAAGCGCGCTGGGTTGATTTGGCCAATAAGAACTTGCGGCCTTCAGAGTTGAGGCTTTAAAAGTTAGAGTATCGCCAAGCGTGTTAATATTTTGTGAGTTACGACGGCGACTCTTAGCCCAGTTAAACTGAAATTAGGAGCTGACATGGTTTCCCCAGTTTTGGCGTTCGTGGCCCTTCTCGCATTGTCCTCCAGTGCGTCAGTAGTCCAGGAATATGTAAGCCCCCTCTAAACTGCTTGGTGCCCAAAATTTTTGACGGGTCAATAGCGTTGCAGTCAGTTGGGGTTTCAGTGAACTTCCTTAGACTAAAAATATCGTTTCTAGTGTCTCTGACGATTTACAATGTTTACTTGAAGCTTTTGAATTTCGATCGAATTCACGTAAGGTAGCTTTAGAGGAATTCTTGCATTCTGTGATCTTCCGTTTTTTCCGTTCGAGAAGTGTGTTGTTCTTTATAAGATTACAAATGCGCTATTTACGTTCCACACCTCTAGAAACGAAAATTGAACGAAGACGAACAGATGTGTAAGTTCAAATTAATGCCCACTCTACTTTGAATAAAATGATCTAAGACGCCCCGAACACTAAAACAATTTTAGCCGTAAATACAAATCTAGGATGAAGCCCACTTAATGTTTTGTGTCGAAAGGGAACTTCTTTTGGTGGCCATGTGTTTGTCATGGGCACCAGGTAGTAGTTTCCTGGAAACGGATATTGTGGAAAATTTTTTCGACATTACTAAGGAGTATACTTGTGCTCCTGGAGTTCTGCAAAAGGCACAGCTTCTTTTTATTTAGCTTGGAATCTTCAAAATTTTTTTATTGCAACAGAAAGGGATGCTGATTTTTAGACTGTGACCGATGTGTCAACCATGTGCAAACGGTCGCTGGTTTAATGGACTCACCCATGTTTGAACCCTCGATCAGAAGGGGACTCGGCATACTTTGTAAAGGGTCTAAAAACATTAACGTGAGTAAGCCCCCGTTCTATGTATGTGTTTGCTCATATAAATTCCCCCTACGCCACATTATTAACGATTATCTTTACTTACTTCGTTCCAGTGCACGGAGATGCTGTTGAATCATCTGCAAATGTTTACCAACAACGCCCGTATTCAAGCTCATGCAGTAGAAGTTTGTCAAGTAAGTAAACTAGGTACTGGTTGCTTTCCCAGGCAGTATACCCTTACAGTTATTTACTCTAGGGTTAAACGTACTGTGCATTTTTTTATTGATGGATTTATGGTGCGATTTTGGACTTTGTGATTACGAATGCATACGCATTATATGATTTGGTGTAAAGCGCTCTGCTGTAGATTTTATTTATCTACTTAAGCTCCTAACATATGCGCCTTTGATCACTTGCCGGTAATCCCGACAGACGTTTGTACAAGCTGAGATTTTCCATGGACCCCTTAAATTATGGCATTTTGATAGTTCGTTGTTAATAGTTTCAAGGCTCTTTAGTTTCATCGAATAAGATGTGTCTCCATACGCTTCCCTCTTTGTCTAGTTTACTAGAATCTGATGCTGTAAACATTTAGCTGTAAAACGTCGTTATTTTTGTCCTAGATAATTGGAAGTTGTCCCAAAATGCCAGTCCTGCGGAACGATGGAGAAGGATTTGGTAAGTGATTTTATTATCTGTGTACTGAAGACGCTTAAGTGAAGGCAGTTTCTGCCGTGTATGTTGGCTATTAGCTGTGCAATTGAGTGTTTGCAATTCTTCGTGAAACGACTACAGAAGCCCGAATTATTTCGCGACTGCTATTAATCGAAACTTCTGCTAAGAAATGCCATAAACGTCCCAACTACGAAAGCATTTGTCCGTTTGCTGATGCCTATCTGAAGATAACTGACATTTAATTGGACGGTTTAGAAGTTCGGCGAAACAGGCGCTCGAATTTTAACAATAATGAGAACCCGCCATATTTCTCGACAAAAGGAACGGAATTTCCTGGAGTGTGTGGCCCAGTTTTAGGGACGTTGTCAATTAGACTAATATGGTTACAGAATTATCGGAAAATTAAGTATGTGTATGGTAACCAAGTGGACAAAGTTCACACTCTTTGACATTTCGAAAAGTTAGACTTATTTTTTTTACTCTACCTCTAGTTGGAAATTTAGAATTAAGTGCTACGCCGACATAGGTTGGTCTTTAAACATTTTGGCTATCGTTTGGAGTAAGTTCTAACTGCAACCATATCCATGAGTCCCATTATACCACTTGGACACCGGTGTGGCTTACAGCGCACTTCACAACTACAAGGAAGGGTTGTGGAATGTGCTGATGGCAGAGGGTACGAGCGACGAATGACGAGCCAGAACAGGAAGATATGTCAACGGTAGGCAGGGAGGGGACACCGGCCATCTTCGCTGACACGCCATCACGCCATTCCCGTCCGGGATTTGCGCTAACAGCGACCTCAGTCCATTCAAACAACTCTGTCCATTTCGCTGGACGTTACAACTTTAGCGTTCAAACTCGACGCCACAGAATAAATGCTACTGTGACTTTTGAGAAATACGAAGGGTAAAACGTTATCTGTGGGCCATTTAAAGTTTAGAAAGTGCATTCGTGGGGTCCATTGAGCACGGTGTAGTTAAGCCTTCAGAGGTGACTAGTAAGTTTACGGTTTGGCTCATATATTCGTTCACGAAAATGCAAGACCGAGAAATGTATCTTCGATTGTAAGGACTCTCGTGGATACACATTTCGCAACATCCACATTTAGTATTGCATTTATTTCTTCGGAGAGAGAAGATTTCCCCATCACTTATTTGTACGTCGAAGTGATGCGCACTGGTTTTTACACTGGTGGGAAGCGTAACCTGCACATAATTCAGTCTTAGGTGGCTTTACGGCATAGAAGAGGAACAGTAAAGTGACATCCGTTTCATCGGAAATTTGTATACTTTAAGCGCTCCTATAGGCTCGGTTAAAAATTCAAGAAACCGCATAATGTAGGAATTTGACTACTTCACCGACAATTCAGTATTTATAAAAGCAGGTTTGGAGTCTGAGCGCGAAAGCATTATTAAACACCATACAACGTGAGGAAAATTTCTTTCTGGTTGGAGGTAGGAAGGTGTGAAGACAACAAGTAGATACTGAAAGCGAAATAACGACATATTAGCCAGGTGTCAGTACTCCACAGCACCAAATGCAAGATTGAAGAGGAGTATTTCTAAAGTATATTTAGCAACACCCAGGCATTCGTTTTCCGACCCGTTTGCATGTGACCTAAAATGGGCTGTTACACCTTCACAGTAACTACTCAAGATATAGAGATTTTGCCCTGATATTTGGCAATAATCAAAGGATGAAAAGGTCTGCACTGCAGACACGATGAATCAAGAACAGGCGCCAGTTACTGCTTAGGCCATATGACGGCACTGTACTGCAGCTCAGAAAACGTGTCCCCAAAATACATAAACTCATTTCGCACCTGATTGTTGCAGAATGCATATGTGCACTATAATTAACAGTCCTTTCAACCAGAGACAGGCCATTATTTCATTACTTACCTTCGGGACATTATCATTCCATTCACTTAAATATAGTGAATTTGGACTAACTTACTTCCTCGTTTACATAGTATGCCACCTGTGTGAGAAGACGATCGAACTGCTGGTAACTGAGATGATCAACAGAGTCTCCGAAGGAAATGTGAAAATCGTCGCTTCCCGACTATGTTTTATCCTCCCCGAGGGGGCAAACCACCTGAGGAAGGACGTAAGTTGTTTAAAACACTCCAGATTTAGCAGGTTTGACCGGTAAGCTGTTTTCTGTCTTCCGTTCTCTCGAGATCTTAGCTGTTCAATGTTCTAAACCATATAACAAAAACAGATGTGATCTGAGTTCATAGATATTAGGTCCACGTCCGATGAGGTTTCAAACTGGAGTAGGGGTAATACTACCACATCCTGCTATCGATAAAAGACGAATATGTGGGCTTAGAAGTTGAATCTTTGTGAAATCTTCCATTCACTTGCAGAAGTCACGAGTCCAGAGCTGACTGGTAAGATGTTTCCTAATCCATGGCGTACTAATCGAGATCATCAAGCTGGCTTTTTAAATGGTAAAGCGTACGTACAATATATAATGTGCGCAAAATATATGTACATGCGATTTCGATAGTGATTAAAATAGGACAGAGTCCGGTACTTATTTCGATATGATAGCATACTGAGACTTTTGATTTGGCGTATTTCAAGCTGTTTATTTAAACAAACCCTTTCAACAGTGTGTCTCTATCTACAGCTGGTTTATGCTTTCATTAACTCAATTGAATTGGCAGAATTAAGTCCACATTCAGAACATGTCCTATACAAATTTCGCATGAAATCTTATCCACCCACAGTGAACTGTTAAATAAAATTATGAACGACCACCTTAGTTAGAAAAGGTGACTTAGTTGAAATTGTAATAGTTAGTATTCTGATGTATGATCCCAAAATTTTCCGGTCACGCCAAGATATGCAGGGTACAAATTGCATACTTTTCCCCTAAGTAAAATGAAACATTTTTCTACATAATTAAGAAAATACCAAAAAGTGTTCATAAGATTTTGCAATGGATATAACTCATGTTGCATCTATCATATTCAACATTAATTAATTGACAGTTGTTATGCTAATTGGATAGGCATTTAGCGATTCAAAAAGTCCCAAAATTACAAAATTTAAAGGCCGAATGCCACCATAGTTTACTGCAAAATGAATACGAGGGGATTTTTTGCACCTGCTTTCTACAAGGCATTTTTAAACTTCTAAGCGGACGTACAATTAACTAATGTAAAATCAACTACGTACGCGACCGCTTTTGAGCAAACGCAAGCGGCGTTTTCATGACACGCGCAGACTTGTGTTTTATGCGAGGTCAGACCTTGTGCCCATGCCCAATTTCAGTCATACTGACCTAGACCTTCCATCAGAACATGATGAATACAGAGTGAGTTTGAGGTTGCCCAGGCATTCCTCTCAAGACCCCCTCCCTAGTTAAAATTGCCATCCTCAAGGCTGCGGTAGCCCTCATCACGCACGACGCTCGAAATATCAAATAAAATGTAGGAAACATTTGTGACGGAAATCGCATTATACATCTTTGTTGTTAATTGATTATTTATGTCTGCCTTCGTAGCATGATTATTCGATTTACATTATTGATGTTATGGCGACGGAGCAGAATCATCATCTGGAGAACCACTTCTGCCCACTTGGGAAACTCCTTAGTGGTTTTCCGCTCTGTCATAAGCAGGAAAACGGCTCACCAGAGCCTGCTTAATTTGTCCATTCCAGCAGTAACTTTTGGTCTCACAGTTTTATTACCGATATTTATGTGGGGAGGTGGAATCTAATATGGTTTGTCATGCTCCATTTTGTTATATCTCTATCAAAGTTGGCTCACTTGCGTTACGAACACTAACCTTGATCATCTTTTCCCTCAAGTGTGCGGATCTGCTTTACGAGAACTATGAAAGCATATTTGAATTCCTGCAGTCACAGGACACTCCAAAAACACTTTGCACGGTAGGTTTGTATTTGCCTCTACCCTCCAATTCATGAGCTTGTTGATTTAAGTAAAACGCCCCCACTTTACACAACGAAGGAGGTTTTGAGCAGTCACATTGAAAATGCTTCCCGAAGATTCTCCATTTCTGCCTAAGCAAAACTACGTGGAATAGTGGTTGGTAACAATCGGGAGATGGCACCCAAAAAAATCCGTTTCCTATAAATAATACCTTTAACAGTGGACTCAAACGCCTTCAGGCTATATCAGCGGTTGCAGGCCTACTCTCACGCACTACTTGGACTTTCCGCAAAGGCCTAACATGGGCTGGCTGAACGAACATCGCAGGAGGTTACATGGAGGATGGTTGCTGTTACCCAGCCTTCCCCATCGTTACACACGCACACCTGAATATACGGCATACATTCGCATTATGGCAGTTTATTACAAAACAAAATCAATTTTAAATAGGATACGTCTGCACAACATGGGACAGGAACAGTTCCCAGGCATCTGGCAAAGATATGGCATTGAGGTCAAACCAAAGACGATACTGTACTTCGTCTATGTGAGCCCACACAGCTTGACAACATACAGGGTTTCCCTCGTGGAGTTTCCTTTTCAGTCTACTCCAGTATGCCTCAATGGCATTGGTGTGCCGTCCGGTTGTAGGGTCCTTGAAGTTCTTTGAGTGGTTAACAGAGAAATGTAGATAACCTTCTGAGGGAAGACAATTATACACCTTCCACTCTTCCGTTACCATTATACTGCCTTTGGTGACCCATTTTGTAATAACGGAACGGAGAGCGGGCCAACTTCGATCATTCACCTGTTCAAATAAGGCTTTCCGTCGGCTAGTATCGTACATCCCGACCAGTTAGCACCCATGAAACCTTTATTACTACCTGTCCCGTAAGACAGGCTGCTTTGGTTAGGCGGATTTTTTTGGGTGCCATTTCCCGATTGTTACCTAGTGGTTTTTAAATTCTACTTCCTTCGCCCGACCCTTTACTCGCAGTCTTGGCGACTAACGTCACCTTTGTTGACACATGCAACATGTGCATCCTGCTTCCGCTTTGTCAAAATGGGCACTTGCTGACTTTGAGTCTCAGTTCAGCCCTTTGTAAGCTAGTCTTTACCATCTGGAGCTGTAGAAGGATCGCCTTCCATCTCTGGAAACAAGTGGTCTAGCGTTTAACGCCGTCTGACTGGCAATGCGATGATTCGCTCGCCAACAGTATTCGGTCAAAGGTTACTTATTGAATAATTAGTAGGAGTGTTATTCTGATTCTGATGACTGGTGCTTTAGCATCTAGCAGGCCTAAACTATAATAGTCGCTGAGTGACACTGAATGGGCACTTCCCAGTTGCGTTTTATCTTGCGTGGTGACGGTTCACTTCAAAGGATAAGTGATGTTAGCGCAGAACTAAAGAATCCGAAGCACCTAGACACATGCGGTGAGCTCTGATGACTAGGAATACTGCGGACCAACGCGCCTAAGAACCCAAACTCTACATTGACTTCAGTTATATATGGCATTGAGTAACGGGCTGCAGACGTTTGTCCATCTGATTACCCGAAAAACGGTATTCTGACCGGACTGTCATCATCCTCAAATTTGTTAAGCGGTCTTCCACTTAGAAAATAAGACAGCACTGTGATATGCTCGACTTATGCTTTCACAAAGTTCATTTTTTCCTTTCGCCGTTATTATATCTGCTTGCTGTATCATGTCAAACGTTTCCTTTATATTTATTTACGGTAATTCCACTTTCCAAACTGAAGGAAATGTCTAAAAAACAGCGAACGACTAACTTTAATTTTCAACTTATTAAAGTAGGGAATAAACATGTGATGAAGTGTCCTTCCGGGTACTCAAACTAAAACCGTCTGTCTAGGGTCTTCAAAGGCATTGCCTTCTACTCTTAAATATACTGAACTAAATATACCGAATCACTTCTACTGGAGCTCACTACTTCCACTCTTTCTCCCTACTATAAGTTTAATATTCGAAAATTTGCCAATGACTTCCCCGTGCACATAATGTACCTTAAAAAACCATTAGTTTAATCCCAGATTTTGTTATAAAAACTGGTTACAGAAAGCGAAAATAATCAAAGTTGATGGAGAAATAGCAATAGACCATTTGCCTTTACCGTTTAATAACTTGACGCGAGCTTCTTATGAGCATAAGCTATAAATGATTTGCCATGTAGCACTGGCACCCACAGACTTCGGGATATTGTGAACCAAATGCCTGAGAGACTGAGCGCCAACGTTTGTCATCCTGATTTCAGGGAAAACGGAATTCTTGTCAGAATGTCCTCAAATTCGCAAAGCAGTTTACTTTCCTAACTAATAAAATTTAAGAGGTTCAGCCCTAAAGGTTACTTAATAAGAAAAAGTTACTCTGAAACGTGTAGAAACCTTTTACAGTAAGACATTCCTGTAGGGCTAGAAGCGGTCGGTCTCCTACAACGGATGTCTCTCCAAATCCTTGAAGGATGCTTCGTGCCAAGACTCGCACAAAGCTATGCACTCATCAATCATACTGAAAATGTGCAAAAGGTTTAATGTATTTAATGGACTAGAAATTCTAAGTTTGTCTTGAGTACATGGTAGCATAGCTTATTTCGAGTTGTCTCCAGTGAGATACCTCAAGCGCAGCATATGGCGCCGAAAAGGCATACTTCAGTGTTTCCAGTTTATAAAACGGGCGACTTGGTATAAAACTTAACAAAAACAACCTGCTGGGGCGTTTTTACAAGTTTTTTTGCTTAAACAAATTAGACGGCATTGTGATTTAATCGACTTATGCTCTCACAAGGGTTATTATATTTGCCTGCTGTAGCATGCCTAACACTTCCTTTATACATATCTGCCTTTGTGACTGTGAAAAGCAATGAATAATTAGCGTCGATTTTCAAATTTTTAAAGTAGAAAATACACCTGTGTTGAAAGGGCCCTCTCGAGTACTCAAACAACAATTATCTATCCAGTTCTACCGGAACTCCTCATTTTACTATTTCTCCCCACTGTAAGTCTAAAAAACGTATTTCCTCGATGGTAGAAAGGACGCAGTGCTTATGACTTTGATTAGTCCGGAGTTGGAGTACTGCAAACTTTGAGTCATCCTTTCAGTTTCTCTGACCTTCCCAGTACTACCTAATCGATCCGAATATTTGCGAAGTCTTCGTGCTGCGGACTGAATCCCTTCCCGCCTTACTGCTTTTTGCCACGTCTGAGAGTACAGTTTACATGCAGGAGCCTGCGACGGTTTGGCGAAAGCAAGTGCAGAGAGCATATGAACTTTGATCACAAGTGTAAACCGTGTTAGATGCTGGCGTTATCTTTAAGTGTCAGGAAAACGCAATGTGTAGACTCATTTAAACTCATTCTTCATGGTGGAAAACTGACGTATTGTATTTTGTTCCCAAGCTTATCTGAACCCAATCTCCCCCACAGCACCCTTTTCTTCCAAATTCCCCTTCTACAACAATTTGTCATCTATCTTCATTGACAGGTCTTTAGAGCCTGTGGGAGGACTGGACTGGGTTATGTTACACCAAATCCGTGAGTGATCCGTACTGGTTTCGGTTTGAACAAACCTTGCTAATCTCCGCTAGCACCGATTAGCCGTTTCCGCATGTTTATAGTTTATTGGAGTCCAAAGTGATTATCAGTAGCAGAACCCTTTTAGTATGCATATTCGAAACAAGTAGACACTGCTGCATAAAAAAGCCTCAAATTCATATCTGAGTGTAACTGCTCATATTTTGTGAGAAGGCTAATTCGAAATTACATTAAAATTAACCTATTTTGTCTTGTTCTCCGTTGTCCTTAATTCACGATTCGTTGACCAGTCACTGTATATGAGAAGGAAGGCGATACAAGACGTTGTATGAAGCCAGTGGGGAATGTTATAAGTTACGAAGAAATTTACCAAAATTTGCCTGCTTCTCCGATTTTTAGATTGTTTTGCATAGATACTTCTACTGCAGTTTTTTTAAATCGGTGAGCTTTACAGTCAGTCCTAATTTATTCTTTGTGTCATTATAGGTATGAAGGATACGAGCGTCACTACAACAGTTCCTGGAATTGATGGGTTTATTCCTGTTTCTGCGGACCCCCATTACTTCATCTTTGCTTGTCTTACCTATTATGAAAAGTGTTTAAAATGACTGTAGTTTAATTAGTGATCCAAATAAAGTGATTATTGCAACTAAATACTTCTCCAAAACACATATTGATGGACATCAAGAGAATGTCGATAAAATATAGTGTAAACAAGACATCAGTCCACGCACTATAGACTCCAGTTGTTTTCCCCGAGCAGTTGGTCGCAGACTTCTACGTAGAGCTGATCTTTCAATTAATATTTGGGATAAACACTTCACTAAATATAGGTCACTTCTGTCCTCCAGATTTGATCGAAGACACTGACTCTACTCCTAAGCACGCATCCTTTCTAGGCCGTTTGAAACAAGGAAATCTGTTCGGCGTCTGTCCACTTTAACCACAGATGCATACTAGCTTTTAGCACTACCATGGGACCTAGCGATAACAATTTTCCTGCACGCGGGATGTTAGTGACAGGGTTTAATGTGAGATCCTTCTTGTCTGGTGGTCTCTGAAAGCATTGACATAATGTTTAGATCTATCTGTGAAACTTGTGCATCCGGTTAGTCTATACTGACACTGAATTCTTGAAAAAACTCACTAGCAGGCAACCTGTGTTGATTGTCATCTGCGTGATACACCTATCTCGAAACTTCACTACACTCCTTGTGTCGTTAGATTTGGACGCAGGGAGCGGTGCAAGTCTTGTTGAAAGACTTACGTTAACTTGGTTGACAGGGTCGAAAAGGTCACATGAATTGGACATAGTTGCTAGAGATTTCCTTTAGCGAGCTGGTATCACCAACAAAGTGCACAAAAAACGTAGAATTGAAAGTTTCCTATTAACGCCAACGCTTGGCAACAATCATTTGGAATCTCTGTATTGCTGAAGAAGGTAAATGTGCCCTGTTTGGACAACAGCACGAGTTTGCGAACAGCTCTCAAAGGCTGAAAAATCGAAACTGGGACGTCTTATCCCTGGTTTCACGCTGCTTGCTCAGAGACTACTTACGTGAACTTCTGTAGAAATGATACACAGTGGCACGTTAAGCCATACGATGACAAGGCGCCAATAACAACTTGTTCAGTGGTCGCAGGCGTAATTAAGGTTTCTAGCTGCCATCTCCGTACTTGTTGCGCCGACCCGAAAAGGACCAACAATGGCTCGTAAAATTCGTTGGTCAAACTGCGCCAAGTCTGTGTTTGTCCTTAGGCACCGCTATAAGTGCGTGCGGAACTTGCAGACGGAGCACTCGACACCATACCAGGCATTGCGCCAAACATCATTACCTGTCGAATGCTCGAATGGTTCACTGGTGGGGGAGAAAGGGAAAAGTGAGTGAGGCCGCTCCTTCACTTGCTCCTGTAGAGCAGGTTACATTGGTCGCAAGAGTTGACGCCTATCCAAGTGAATACGGCATGGCTGGGAAAAGGTCAAACTAGGAGCATAAACAGCGTTATTCTCACCCATGTTGTTGATGTCGGGCATCGTGTGGACCCCAGCGAAGCTTTACTTGTGAATGATAAGGATCCATCGAACTACCCTAAGCTACCGGGCCAACGCATGTTAGCAACAGGAGAAGCGGTCGCCATCAGGTTACGAAACCCGATCTCGTGCGCACAGAATAAACACGTTCGGGCTCTGCACTTACCGTGGTCAAAAACCGACTAATCAAACAGCTGTCCATGTTGTTCCGCTCTCACCGCGCCCTGGCATTGAATGCTATTAATCCCACCTCCCTCTCCTTTATTCCCACACCTCGCCTGTGTTTTAAAACGAACTTTAATCGATTTCTCTTCGAAATGACATGTTTCTGCCTCTACCCCGTTCTCATGTAAATATATTGCCCTGACGATAATTTATCGAAAACAGACGTATGCTCGCCAACTGGTCTTCTGAATGCTGCCATGGGAATTTCTGCAACACTAAGACAGGAATAATGCAGAGGAGAGATAAGTAGCAGAGCAAAGAAAACGCGAATTAATAGTGCGGTTATACAGTAAACGTGCTAACTCATGAAATGTCAACCAAAATTTCGAAATGCGTTCTCGTTTCGAGAAGATAAATTAAGTAGTGTTGTAAAACTAATCATGATGCAGCATAAATCTATAATGATCCAGTTACCCCAGGGTGTCGGCTTTCGAAAGAACTTATTTTCGGCTGCATACAAGATCTATACTCTGCAAAAAATGACTACTTATGTAGTATGCAATTTTCTCATTGATTTTCGATGTCCCTGAAAATTCAATTATATTTCATGGAAAACATACATAAAAATATTCATTCTTTTACTCATTCGGTAGAAAATCACGTCTTCTTCCAATTTTATACTCAAAAGAAGAGTATAATTCGGTTTTAAAAAAGTTTCTAATTGTGAAATTTTTTAATACCGTTAAATGGCCATTCATGAAACGTCATGTATCTACATTTACGAATGTGGCTTGTAAAGTTAATAATATTGCGTGCATTTCTCTACGGTGTTAAGAGGAAACCATATGAAGTTCATAAAATTAAGCAGTGGATTTGAGCAGTATTGTTAACTTTATAAGCCACATTCGTAAATGCAGATACATGGCGTTTCGTTAATGGCCATTTGACGGTATTAAAAAATCTCACAATTAAAAACTTTTTTAAAACCGAATTATACTCTTCTTTTGAGTATAAAATTGGAAGAAGACGTGATTTTCTACCGAATAAGAAAAAGAATGAATATTTTTATGTATGTTTTCCATGAAATATAATTGAATTTTCAGGGACATCGAAAATCAATGAGAAAATTGCATACTACATAAGTAGTCATTTTTTGCAGAGTATAGATCTTGTATGCAGCCGAAAATAAGTTCTTTCGAAAGCCGACACCCTGGGGTAACTGGATCATTATAGATTTATGCTGCATCATGATTAGTTTTACAACATTACTTAATTTATCTTTTCAAAACGAGAACGCATTACGAAATTTTGGTTGACATTTCATGAGTTAGCACATCTACTGTATGTCAGAAAGTGAGATTGGAGGTCGAATCTAAACACTATGTTTTTGATTATACTTAAGGGCTGTTTGGTTGCAAGGGGCCAGGAGAGATCAGACGGTATCACCAAGGTGTCGGAAGTGCCGAGAGAAAATTACAAGCCTGCAGCTTGCTCTCAAAATTAATGAATCCATTCTCATGCGGGGAATTCTCCATCTCCTCATTGTCCGTTGCACAGAGGAACATTCTAGCAGTTTGATTGTCCCTAAGTAAGGAGGTTTACGGCACCTCCAGTTCGAACGCACAACAATATGCTCCTATACTTTCTCTGCGCAATCTTACTTAAAGTTCATTGGTTTTCAGAATTTCCCAGGCTTTCGGTGTTCCCTTACTCTCTTCTGCCACCTGCCATCACCGATTCCGATAGTGCCATTCTCGTCAAAACCAATCTGGGATAATTAACCCATTTTTGCAAGAATTGCCATTAGGTGATGCGACAATTAACTCTCATGGCGGTAGCAAACTGAATAGGACACGAGGAAAATGCGGCAGTTTATAGACCTAGTGATTCAAAGAAAAGACATCTGACGATATGGTAGCGATAGTAAGTTGAATATTACAGTTAAAGCATGTGGACGCGTAGACCTGATAAAATAGCGGATAGACGGCTAACGTTAGTTATTGGTTGACAAAAGGACAATACTCCTTTTTTAATTGCTTTTTCTTGTTTCCATTCCTAACTTCACCCTAATGCCTTGTTGGTTGCACGCTTAGCTTGTGATGTTTCGCTCTTTTTGTCACTGCATTGGTATGCTGTTTTCTTAGACTGCGAGAAGCATGGGTTTGACCCAGGTGTTGGTCGCATTTGCTGCTGAGGTTGGGAACGGATTTGTGTACCGCCTGAAAGTTAGCGTATGACCACCTGCAAGATGGAAATAATGGTAATAGGAAGGATTTACCGGTGGGGCCTTTCAAGGAGGGCATGAAGAATTCCGATTTACGTAAATGACGAAGAAAGTATTCGCGCCGAGTGCTTGTTTTGATGTAGTGAGCGAGTCCCGAATACAGTCCTCGTAATTTAAGAGTTTAGTAGAAGAAGCGCGCGGGAAGTATACGCATAGCCATGTGATTTTAAATTGTCAGGTAACGGATTCTGCAATTAATGACCCATGGATAGACAGGAAGGCCATCAAAATTATAACGCCATCTACTCAGTCCGAGAGAACGACGCATGAGGACAATAACAACAAAGTGATCGCGATCAATGAAAGACAAATCATTACTAGTCGTTACATTTAACATAAAGAAATCTACACTAAATGCGGCTTCCTTCATAAACAACTAAATAACAATATGCAGGTTATATCGGCCAAAGAAAGATCATAAACACATAGTAAGCACATATTAGGCAGACTGCTGCTTAATTCGCTAGTGGTCTTACCTGACGCCTCGGATACTGATTTAGTTTTGACGTGTGAACCATCGGGCGCCTTATCAAAGACGGAATCAACAGTGCAACTTAAACCCTTGCAAGAAATCCAGGAACAAGTTAACTTGTCCCTGGTAATTAAGTAGTGTCACCAAAAGTCTGGTACCAAAAGCCATTAATTATTTGTGCGGACGTATAATGAACCAACTGATATTGCGTACGTGCAAAGATGGGTATATGTTTAGGTGCGCGAATTGCAATCGAAGAGCAGCTCTCCGGGACAATCGTAAAACCGATCGTCGTAAGTCTTGATTACGATAATTAATGAACAGAGAAAATAGTCTGTGTTCCGCTTAAGTAGGACACGGTGATCCGGTGTGTCGTACAGACTGACCGTACTACCTAACAATGCCTGCTGATCTACTTCATATTTTTCTCTACCGACTAGGGTAATGATAAGGACAGCTGCAACTAAATGACAGCAAAGTTACTAATTTTTTTCAAACAGCAAGTCTAGGTAGACATTTCAGCCAAATGGTGTATGGTGCAACTTCAGCGCATGCATGATCGTCGAATGGATGCGT